GGTTGACTTTGACCTTGTGTCGGTGTCCTGGTTTGAGGTTGACTTTGACCTTGTGTCGGTGTCCTGGTTTGAGGTTGACTTTGACTTTGTGTTGGTGTCCTGGTTTGAGGTTGACTTTGACCTTGTGTAGGTGTCCTGGTTTGGGGTTGACTTTGAATCTGTGATGGTATTCTTCCTTGGAATTCAGACTGTGGTTGCCTCTGGTTTCTTGCCTGTGATTGAGACTGAATTTGAGTCGGGATCTTTGTTTGGGCTTGTGATTGAGGTTGTGTCAATATTCTTGGCTGGGACTGAAGTTGGGGCATTTGATATTGGGACTGTTTAAATTGGGCTGTGGTATGAGACGAATGTCTAGGCTGGATTTGAGGCTGGAGTGCTGTGGGGTGCTGAGCCTGTGATTGTGGAGGCCTGGTTGGAGACGGCTTAGCATGCAGAGTCGGAAAGGACTGAGTTGGCGCAAGCAGGGTCTGATGCTGGCTTTGATGCTGGGCTTTGGAGAGTGTAGGCTGTGACTGGGTTGTCTGGTTTGTAGACAGTGGTTGACTGAGGGTTTGGACTGGGGGTTGTGGGGGCAAGGTCTCAACCATTATTTGTCCCGTGGGGGATGACTGGTGTACTTGCAGAGCATGGGCTTGGGATAGAGTGGGTAACTGGGTATGAGAGCAAGAACCGGGCTGGTGGTGTGATTGAGAAACGGGTTGAAGAGGTTCAGAAGGGGGCTGAGGCACAGACTTTTGGTGTGGTTCGGGGGTTAGACGAGGCACAGTCTGTGGTTTGACTTCAGGCCTGGGTTGGCTGGAAGGTGGTTCAGACTCTGGAAGAGGAGGAGGTGGCTGATCTAATAATGAACCAGAATGCTGTTGATGGCGATGGTGTTTATGAGGTTGTCGTTCCTTCCTTTTGTGGCTTTTTGCAGGGATAATGCTACTGCTGCTGCTGCTACTCCTTCCGCCCCCTCCTTCATCTTCAGCATCATCCTTGCCTTTACTTCCTCCATCTCCCATTTCTCTTTTTTCCTTGTGCTTCAGGCACTTATGCGCCTTGTGTCGAGGAGATTGGCTTTCATCTAAAGCAGATTGTTGCTTCTCTGACTGGCTTCCTACAGAGGATGTTGGCTTTGGGTCTGATCTTGAACCCCCCTCTACTGTGCCTCCCTTCTCCTCTGCTGTGCTGGTGCTCCCAGTCTCAACAGTCATAACCAGTGGAGCTTGAACACTTTCCATCTCTTCCACAGTTTCTCTTGTTTTGCGTTTTTTGATTGGCAGGGCAGTTTCCTGAACCACAGGTTTAGTGGAAGACTCCTTAGTTGCTCTTCGTCTAGCTTCAGCAGCCAAGATGGCGGCAGCAGTGTAGCTCCCCACCGCCGAGCTCCCAGAGACTGTGGTCGAGGAGGTGGATGGCAAAGTCACTGATGATGCAACAGAGGTTGATCCTGGTTTCCTTCCTCGTTTTTTGGGAGTGGCCTGAGGTGGTGGTGGTGGAACTTCCTGTTCTGATTTTCTCTTTCTGCCTGGCCGGGATTTGGGCACTGCTATAGGAGACACCCCCTGCAGAGCAAAGTCCAAATCAACAAGAGACATAACACAACAGAGTAGCACAGGGTAAGCTTCATTGCATCAGTTGAATTAGGTTATTTCAATTCTTGAATTAGAAAACCGACAGGTGATAGGCCGAACAACCCGTCATACCTTTGACGTGGTTCCAGAGGAGGACTCGGTCTTGCCAAATGGCATTTTAACCAGCAGTTTGCCAGGAGTCTTCTCAATCACACGCTTCATGGCTACACCCTCAGTGGCCTGACGCATTTTTCCACTCCCTACACAAACAGAAGAGATGAACACAGAACAACTGCAGAACTACTCATGAAAAGCCGTCCTCAGCTGAACCACTCCGGCGTAACTTCTACCATCGCTGTCTTTGTACCTTTAGGCCTCCCTCGGCCTCGTCCCGATGGCTTCACCACTTTTGTTTTTTTAGGAGGACGCTTTTCCCGACGAGATGGACTTCCACGCCCAGTAACAGTGAAATCAAAATCATTGGGATCAGTCTTTGTGTCGCCAATCTTCTCAAAGTAGGCAAGAAGTTCCACCTTTGACCGGAATGCCTTTCCCTCAGAGCTGTAGAGAACAAAAGAAAACCTGAAGTGTTGGGGTCTTACTTCATTCGTTTTCATCATAGTGATACATGTTGATTATGACTTACTTGATCAGGTAGACATCAAACTTCCCTGCTGACCTTCCAGACTTTCTTTGTTTCAATTTGCGGGTCCAGCCTTCAGGCAGGGAGGGATCATCATACATTGGCCCGCGGTCTCGAATGATGGAGCGTCGCTGTCTGGGAGATCCTGCTGCCTCACTACCAGCTGCAGACTCCGGCTCCTGCTCTGAGGGTCCCGCCACTGGCTCCAACATCTACAGAGAGGAGGGAGTAAGTTAAGTTCAGAACATCATCCTGGGCGTTACCTTCTCAGCTCTCTAGGTATTTTGTACCTGGCTCTGTGGTTCCATCTCCTCCTCAGGATGTTTACTGATCGCAGGCGGTATGGTTGAGGCCGCCGTCTCAGCCCCCTGGGCACCATGACGACGCTCCCTGCGAGACTTTTTTGTCTTGCTGTGTGACCTGTCTTTTTGTTTGGTTGAGGGTTGGGGGTCTCTTTCATCACCTTCTTGCCCCTCCTCCCTGGAAGAGATATCACCCAAAATGACCATGTGTCTGTTAATCTTTTTGTTTGCCCAACAGCAATGATGAATTGTAGGAACGTAATTATGGTCAGATTTTTCCAGCTAACCAGCTATTCCTGTTTCTAACAACTGGTTGTTCCAACTTTGGCAACAACAGTTGCTAACTAACAGCTTTTAGATGAATATCAACCTGGACTATACAAGAACGCTGGGCCAGTAAAACTCTGTATCAGAGTGTAGCTGATGCCATTTTCAGGACATTCCCAAGGATGCAACCTCCTAAGAAAATCCTGGGACCCCTTGGGAATCCTCCATATAAAACCTTGTTCCCATAGACAAAGGCCTCTTGATGCCTGAAGGGCTGTGTATACTCCCGCAGGTCGCAGGTATGATGCAAATATTTTATTTTTGATTTATGCCCAATATTGAAGCGTGGTCTGCACTATGTCATTCCTTGGCCCAACACAAGAGGGACAATCAGGAACTAGCTAGGATTTTGGGTGTCCGTGTGTCGGTTTGACGAGCTTGTTCACCGTCTACAACCCTTCATCCAACGCCAGACGACACACATTTCACCCGTGAGTGTTCCCCAAAGACTGGCCGTGGCGCTGCATATTTTGGCTTTGGGTGGAAACCAACAGACCGTCGCACAGAGCTACAAACTAGCGTCCTGCACGGTGTCTGGGATAGTGTCCGAGGTGTGCAAGGCGTTGTGGAGCTACAGCCAGAGTTTCTGCCATTAGTTACCAAACAGGAAATACATATAGTGTAAAGCGGATGTAGAATTGACCAATCAGAGACCTCCTCTCTGCCGCACTGTCAGCAGACACCTACAATTTTGGGTAGGTGCAGCAGAGTGTCTGCAGAAGGGGACGGGGCATATCTGCATTAACTGCGACACACACGCAGACAACCTGGTTTCTTAACATAAACCAGGCCTTAGCCAGCTGGACTGCAAAGTCCCTACAGGCAAGGGGCGGCATTCTTCAAACGTTTCTCAAAAGTACGGCCTGCTACCAACACTCTCGGACATACCTGCTTTTTTCTGACCAAAGGGAATCCTTCATTTTCATCAGAATGGTGAAAAAAACAGACACATAGTCTGGTAAAGGTAGGGAAATGTGTGCTTAGCTAAATAATTTGGTTATTGTTGTTCTTCTGTATGTTTGATGTATTTCTAACAGTGTTTTGAAAAGCTGAACTGAAAAGCTAACAATTGAAGCGGCAACTGTAGCGTACTGGCAATCTTAAATTAGACACTGTTTTTAGAATGTTATCTATTAAGTTGTATTACATTTTATTTCAGTTAGGGTTTAAACACTAAGTTAACGTTTGTTTTCCGATCTGTTCATTACACAGATTTGCTAAAATATGACCAAATAAACCTTTAAAAAGACTTCCCTTGTGTTCATTAGCCATTAGCTTCTTGGTCAACAACACAGCGCATTCGTTGACTACTTCCATTCCCTGCATATTCGATATTTCCATAAACATGCCTAATATTTTGTCCGCCAGGGTTCTTATGGACATCAATGGTTCTTTTGTGAAGCTTTGAGATGAAATAAGTAACTAGCTTATTAGATATTGCTTAACCAGGAAAGCTCTTGCAGACATCTGTCTCCCTGTTGACTGAGTGCGTCCGTTGACAATACAGTTCCCACTCAGCAGAGGTTCAGGGGTTCCCTACCCTTTTCTTATTCCCACAAGAATAATCACATGACCTTAACAATCAGTTATCTAAACTTATCTAATACCTAAACTTCTTGAGGTTAGTCTTTAACAACATTGTTGATAAATTTGGACTCACTCTGCCCTGAAGAATAGGCTTAAGCCAATCATTCAATCAGTAAAATAATAAATGTTTGCTATATTTATAGCTTACATATTATGGTGAATGCATATGTGGTTTTCTACCAGGGTCCTACAGCCCGTGAACTGTTTCCACGACACTGAGATAATCCCAGGCTGCAGGTGCCTTCAGTAGGAGGCGATAAACATGCCTATCGGCTGCTATATAATTTTATTACAGCAGAAAAGCTAAAGCCCTCAGATCAAATGTCCTTCAGTATTACTTTGCCCCTTGTGAACTGAAACGGGTAAGGGAGTATTCGGGTTATCTGCCAACTCTGATTGGAATGCCCTGCGATCTGAAGGATTTCCTCTCTGCTTAAGGCCGGGCATACACTGTACGATATTTTCAATCTTTGTACTCAGCTGCAGCTCAAAATATATAAAGAATTTGCAGGGTTTAAAAGTTCCCAGCTCACAATAAGTGTGCTAACACTGTACGGCCGATACTCTGATAGGGTCTAACTGCTCAAACTGTAGGTCCGAAAACCACGTCATACCCAGTGCCAAAAGATGGAGCTGGTCGGACTCGTCAATCTGGAAGAAGCAGTCCCTTGTTTGTACATGCGCAGTGTGCCAGGTTTAGGTAAGTCGGCTCGTAGACTCTCATAGCTGCTTCAACAGCAGGATTCGCTGACGAACACCTCACAAGGTCAGACTGAATTTCAAACATGTTTGATTTTCTACCGACCTTACAATTCCAGATTGGGAGGTGGTCATGAGAGGCTAATAGCCCCTCGTTACCCCCCTGTATACTACACAACACAGGACGCACTATGAGGTTGCAACTTGGCCTGAAAATACATGAGTAGCCGTTCAAAATTTCCCCACTTTCCTTGATAGGTCCTTGACTGGTCCCCTACAATTCCTTTTTAAACCTCAATCTTTGTACTAAAATATTCTTTCTGTCATGATTTGTGGACATTAAGATCTAAAGAGCAGCGCCATCTCCTGGTCAGACCCTGTAATTCAGTGAAAGGGTGGAGACAGAATAAAAAAAGATATTCAAGAGGGGGTGGCGACAGTGGCTGGAAGTTGGAGGGGATTTTGCTGCCATTCGGCTGGCTTTTGACTGGGAAGGGCCATTTTGAATGGCTGCCACTGTATTCTCGCAAAGACTAGAGAACCTGTGCAAAAAAGGGCAAAAACTCTCAGAGTGTATGCCTGGCCTTTATGAAACCGACAGCAAACATCCTGTAAATAGTGTTTTAAGTTTTTATATTGATACTGTAACAGCTTCTGCAATTAATGTCTGTAGTATTTGTCTTATTAATTGTAAAGGAAAGCTCTGTATTTAAACCTTGAAGCCTTCTCTCTGCAAGTGCGTTGCTAAAAAAAGAGTTCACTCTAGACAAACTCTTTAAATAATACTTCATAATGTCTATTTATTAAATAACCATGAGACAAGAGGACAGATTTGGACAGAAATTGTAATATTACTCAGTCCAAAGAAGTTGCTCAGAGTTACAGAAGGCAGCTGCCTACCAACCGGGCTCACATGTCATTGAAGTGGCCCTGAATTACAGTTAAAGAAGCATTTTATACAACACCAGTCACTTCATTGCATCATACACCTTTGCAGATGAGGAGACATCCATGGCTCCGACCATATCAAAATATCACATTATGTTCTTATATCAAGGACGCCGCTCTCATTCCATTCCCAAATCTTTCCCACATACAGAATGAAGATGATAACAGAGGAACTGTCCTAATTAGACAAACTACTTGGGAAAGCATTCGTTGTGACACGCAACCAGCAGGTATTATTAGGGTTTAACCAACTCAAACATCATCAGTAAGAACAATCCTAGCATAATCGTTATTCAGTTGTCTTTGATGGGAGCTGCTGCCCTCCTTGGTCAGATAAATTAAGTCTTTATCTTTTACCGGGTTTATAACAGTTTAAGTAATTTTTAAGGCAAAAATAAAAGCATTCCACGGAAGCATGTCCAGCTAAAATAGTATTTGTGGAAGTATAGGGGAGTGGTGGTCTAGTTGTCAGGGCATTGTGGTTGGAATCCAGAGGTTCTGAGTTCAAACCCCACTCCCACAGACTGCCACTCTGGGTCTCTGAGCAAAGACTCTTAATCCCACACTGCTCCCTGGGTGCCGCACAATGGCAGCCCACTGCTCCCCAAGGGGAGGGGAGTGGTTCATTTCGTTGCTTGTAATGACAATAAATTACAATAAAAAATAGATTGATACATTTGGGTAACAAATTATTGACTGAAGGAACATTTATTTCAGGCCATAGTGGCAGTTTTGGCTCCAGTTGAAGAAAACAGTAGATACACCGGAAATATGGGATTAAGCTGCTGGAGGACAAGAAGCCCATCCTCCATTGCTTCTCCTAATACTAAACATTACTGAAGGACTGCTTTCCCCATCAGGGAACAGCAGCGCAGCACAGCCTGCTATCCAGAACCGCCAGCACCGCACACAGAGCTCCAACGCTGACTGCCAGCCAGCAGCATGCCGCCAACCAAGCCAAACCCAGCATCCACAGAACCAATCTGAATCCTGGGATCCTTCAAACTAAAGTTTAGACTCTGGTTTAAACTAATTCCACCAGCTCTGCATGAGGTCAAAGAACATTTAGCAGCAGTGATTAAACCAGCGAGCATTGATAAAACCAATAAGACTCTGATTGCTTCGTATTGGTCCTCGTTAAAGGATAAAATCTCCATCACTAAGGTGAATAAATATTGACTCGCTTCGTAAAATGACTCCTTCCTGAACGAATAAGGAATTTTGGGTCATCTGCTATCTTTTGGGTTTTTGGGCTTCCAAGCCCCTCAGGGCGGCATCTGTGCAGACAGAATTTCCACATCGCAAACACAGGATCATTTGGAACTACATGGACAGAAAACACGGCAACCGAGCAGCATCTCCTGCTGGTGAAGGTTCACACATGTAAACATCTCCAGACATTCCCATAAACATGCCTATCAACAGACTGTGGAAAGACACTTGGAACAGAAATAACTGTAAAGGGCTGGTTATCCTCCCGCAGTGTGTCGCAGTTAGCGTGTCGCAGATATGACGCAGATATATTCAAGCGTGGTCTGCGCTATGTTATTCCACACCACAACACCAGATGGACAATGGGGAACTAGCTAGGATTGTGGGCGTCCGTGTGTCGGTTTAATGAGCTTCTTCGCCGTTTACAACCCCTCATCCAATGGCGGACAACACACAGTTCACCCGTGAGTGTTCCCCAAAGTCTGGCCGTGGCGCTGCGTGTTTTGGCTTCTGGTCGCACAGAGCTACAAACTAGCGTCCTGCACGGTGTCTGGGATAGAGTCCAAGGTGAGCCAGGTGCTGTGGACGGCACTACAGCCAGAGTTTCTGCCGTTAGGTACCAAACAGGAAATACCCATAGTGTAGAGCGGATGGAGAACTGACCAATCAGAAGCCTCCTTTCTCTCTCTCTCACCCAGACGACCTGGTTTCTGAGCATAAACCACCCTTTAGTCTTAAACTGCATGAAGAAGCTTTGATAAAGTTGTAAACGTCTGTTTTCTGCTTCCTCGTGTGGTCTGGTGTTGTCAGCCAGAATGGGGGAAAGCAGAAAACAAATGCTGGCAACTAATTTTCCACACTTATTGTTTGTGAGTTAAGCGAAATGAGTCCTTAAAGAAGCTCTACGGAGTCTGGTTCTAATTCTGGTGGAGATTTCTTGGTGTTGAACTTGGAACCAGTCCGAAACATTCATTAAAATTGACTGAACTGGTTAGTAATCCCAATCAGTTTGTTGGATCAAATCCCTCCCTGTCCAGTCTAGAAATGCAGGCAGCCTCAGATAAACGTCGGTGTCCCAAAACCTGTTTTTTTCTTGTTCCTCCATTTGACATTAGATTGTGTCAGGCAACCTGGAGAACGTTTTCTTTCTGGTGTCTAGGAAACAAGCTGGAACGTTTGGTTTTATTTAAAACAATGAACCTGACTCTGAGCAGCGGCCTGATGGGATCAAGTGGAGGCTTCTTCAAGCACAGTTTTAACTTGATTATACGATAATCTCCACCAAATTAAGAAAATACATCTGCTAACCAGAACCAAGACCATTGATTATACGATAATCTCCACCAAATTAAGAAAATACATCTGCTAACCAGAACCAAGACCAGGGATTATACGATAATCTCCACCAAATTAAGAAAATACATCTGCTAACCAGAACCA